TGAAACATGGCAGTTTAGGGAAAGGAAGGGTATATTTGAAGTTCTAATAATAGTCACTAAATAAATGTTAAATTTGGAAAAAAAAAAGATTTAAAATGATAGTTTGTATTAGCGCTATATGTGTGCCTAGCATTTCAGGTACATCTTTCCTAATACATCCTTACATTTGGTAACTTAATAAATATTTGTAAAAATATTTGTAAAAAGGTACTTACAATAAAAATTATATTTCTAGTATCTCTCCATAATTGGCCTATGAGTTTTCTTTTTGGAACCATTTCAGTGAGCCTGAGGAGAGATGTCTCTTTAGATCTATTGAAGTTCTTGACTTCCTTCTTTTGTGGAGTTCGGGATAGCCTTGGAACTGGACATAGTGGTGGCCTGGAACCTGCTTCTCTTCTCCTTTCTGCTTTCTGCTACTGACATTACCATTCTCCCAGGAGCTCAGCTCCAACTTCTGAGTGACTCATCCAATCATCTCCCCTATCTCCCACATCTTGTCAGTTGACAAATTCAGCTGATTGAAGCTCTGTCTCTCAGATTCATCTTTTATTTTCATTATCACTGACTAAACGAGGCCCTGATGACTTAAACTGGACTGTTACAAAACATTTCAAATAATTTCTATATCCGCAGGATGTCTCTATTCTCTGCCATCCTGCAGAGAGAAAAGGCCTGGTTTTGTTCATCTCTGTAATCTAGACACTTAGCCCAGAACAGGAATGATGAAAGATAGGCAATAAGTGTGTGTTAAATGAGACCTGGTTATATTGATTCTCTCTTCAAAAGTCTGTGGTGATTTCCTGTTGCCCACAGATTGAACTCTTCTCAGCCCGGCATCAGTAGACATCAGTCATCCTTCCATCTGACTTCTCACACATGCAAGTGATGCACCCTCTGGTGAATACTCTCCATTGGGTGCATGTTGATTGTCCCATCTCTTCTTATTTCAAATCTTTACTTGTCAAAATTCATATTTTCACACCTCACTTTCTTGTCATCTCTAGAGGCCTCCTCATACTCTTTTCCCATAATAATTGGTCTTTGCTGCTCTCCTATGGACTTAATAACTACATTATAACACAGTCTGTCTTTATAGTTTTTGAGTGGACAGCATTTCATTTTAAGTGCCAGATTTGATCAATTGTTAATGGCAGCCTAGAGCACTGTATAGAGAAGGATTCTAAGGTTATACTCGGGTTCCTCATGAAAGAAGGTGCTAAAATAGATTAGCTGCCATACTTCGGCACAGAAGAAGAGAGAGAACAAAGTTGAAGGAGCCAACTTTGTTACAGGCCCCCATGTATGTGTCTACTTAGCTAGGTCATGTGTCCTTACAAACGTATTTCTGTCCTTACAGCCTCTTTCACAATTTGTGTTCAGAAGATCCTTAAACACTCTATTCCATGATTTTAAAAGTTTACAATCTAACATGGCAAATGACATTTGTGATGGAATGTGAGAATGGACAAAAAAAGATATAAAGTGCTAATGGAATGGCCCTTGAAGAGTAGGTAGGAAGACATGGAGAACATGAGGGGCAAGGCGGCATGTATCCACAGGAACTGAAATCAGTACCTTGGAGAGATACCTGCACAGCCGTTCCTTACAGCATTACTCACAATAGCCAAGATACAGAAACAACCTAAATGGCTGTCTTCAGATGAATGGACACACACACACAAAATGTGATATACACATATATATACACACAAGTGGAATATTATTCAACCTTTAAAAATCCAATTTATATAAGTGAAGTTATTTCTTTTTTAAAATTTATCTTTATTGTTGAAAGTATTACAGATGTCCCCTTTTCCCCCCCAGTGACTCC